CTCATGAGACTCAAGAATTGAAAGTATTACTAGTAAGCAAAATGTTTTCTATCTTACAACCCTCGGATCCCTTTGACCATAAATTTTGACCCAAACAAATACTAAAATGACACCCTATTCAAACTCCATCTCTCTCTCTTCGCTTCTCGGTGAGTTTACTAGCCAAGGGGTTTAGCTTGAGCTCAAACACGAGTACACCTTCTTATGTGTGTGAGAGAGAAGGAGTTTGGGTTTTAGAGAGAGATGGAGTTTTAGAGAGAGCGATGGAGTTTGAGTTTTAGGGAAAGAGATAGAGTTTTGAGAGAGAGAGAGACGATGATGTGAGAGAGAGATAGAGTATGGTTTTTAGAGAGAAATGGAGTTTTGCAAGAGAGAGAATGTGAGAAAGATGGAGTTTTAGAGAGAAAAGATAGAGTCATTTCATAAGTTGTTGATGTGAATAATACATGGTCAAAAGGGTTAGGGGGTTGGAAGATAAAAAAGATAGAGTCTTTTTGCTTACCAATTATATCTGATGAGATATACAAGTTAAAAATAAGGGATAATAGGATATTTTCCCCAAAAAATTATATTTGATGAGATATACAAGTTAAAAATCAGGGATAATAGGATATTTTTTCCAAAAAAACGGGTAGGGCTGTTTTCCACATTGGCTTAAGAAAGTTCAATTTGGGGGTATTGTAATTTTCCTTATATATTTAGTATTGTCATCTTTTTGCCATTGGTGATTTTTCACTGCTGATATAGGGCTGTTCATGATCATCTCATCTAAACTGCCAAGGTCTAGAGAGATAAGTTTTAATGATCAAAGAGAATTGCCCACTCAAATAAGAACGGTCAAAATGGTTGCGATTTGAATTTGAATTCCAGGTATTCAAATTTGAATGGGATGGATTCCTAACAAACCAAATCTGTTAGTTCACATCATCAACCATTGAATTGAAGGATGAACTACTCAAGATGAATCCGTGATTGACGAAAGCTTATCTTTCTCAACAAACTCTCTTCCAATGTCTATAATAGCAATCTGCTCAGTCAGACGGACGAGCTTGTGGAAATGGTGGCACTTTTGGATTTTCTTATCATGGTGAAGCATCGAACTGAAAGTTGCACAAATCATTAGTTCTCAAGCAGTAACAAAGGTGAAAAATTACTTTTCATTTTCAATTTATTTGCTGGGTAAGTATTTTAACGCATCAGTGCAACTGTTCGGAGTTCATTTCCCTTATCTAGATTCATTGACAAGGATATTTCTTGCTTTCTTATCCGAGCTTAGTTGTGAATGAAACAAGTGTCTTTTCTTTCAAGCACTTGGAACTCCTCCTGAACCTATATTTAATTTTAAAAAGGAAAACGAGATCCTAAATCTGTTTTCTTATTGTGTGTCTTCTCTGGTTTTTTGTCATTAGAGTTCATTTGTTCGAAACTTCTTTAAGGCATAGGATTTGACAGGTGATCGGCTGATTTCCTCCTGAAATTATGAATCAGCTATCCCTCTAATTTACACGATTCCTCTTGTATTTTTTGTTTTTTCATTTTATTTATTTATTTTATTTATTATGATTTAGATTCTAAATCATCAAGGAAACATTTTTTTTTTTTGGATTTATGCAACTTTTCCTCTTTCTTATTTTTTCTTTTTATGATTTTTTTTTATAGATCTCCAATTTGGCCTATCTGGATTGCATATTTGACCCATCCAGATCGCCATAGTGGTCGACTGATCCGCGTCATATTCTTAAACACTGCAACCTTTGAAATGGTGTGTTTGCTACATGTAAGATAATACGTAATGCAATAAAATCAAGTGATTCTACATGAATTACCTATCAAAAATATAATTGTGGAGCTTGGATTTCTCGGATCTCTCCCCATCCTCTGATGCATGAACTTTAGGGGAAGGTTTATTTAAAAGAAAGTGAGTTTAAAAACTGGACTAAGGTTTGTTTAAAAGAAAGTAAGTTTAAAAACTAGACTCAGAGCATAAAGGGTGTTCCACCTAAAGTATGCTACAACATTGCTACCCTACTACATGACCTCACTTCGACCTTGAACAAGTTTAGCTTCTCAATGAAAATAAAAAGAAAGGATGGATTCTTGGAAACTAAAAAAATGATAGATAATTAATTCGAAAAAAGGAAGCAAAATACCAAAAATTGAGATCTGTATAACAAGCTTGAAATGGTTCTTCTTAGGGAGAAACTAATGAAATAAAAAAAATTATAGTGCACGAATAAAGAAAATATTAGAGAGTATAATAGTTTATGTCCCCTCACTACCCATGTGATAAATTTTTTAGAGATCCGTGCCAACTTTAATGGTGATCTTTTGGGGTCCTATACACATGAGTGGGGGTGGGTCCTATAGGATCATTACTCTTTGACAAATTAGGCAATATATATAGTAACCCTCATCGCACACATGCCCAGGCTATTTTTCTCTCTAGAATAGAAGCTTTATCTACAAGTGCCTGGAAAAAGTGGGGTGTATGTCTCGAAAAGTGAAAAGTTGTGAAAAGTGGGGTGTACAGGTGTCCCGAAAAGTGAAAAGTGGGGTGTACAGGTGTCCAGAAAAGTGAAAAGTATGGTGTACAGGTGTACAGGTGTCCAGAAAAGTGAAAAGTGAAAAGTGGGGTGTACAGGTGTCCAGACAAGTGAAAAGTGGGGTGTACAGGTGTCAAGAAATTAAGATAATAAGAATGACCCTAATTCTACAGAGAGAGAGAGAGAGAGAATATTTTTCATCTCTTAATTTGAGAAATAGGATATTTTTTTTCTCTATTTTTTGTTCAAATAAGAGAGAGAAAGATATGCAAACATATCTAAGATTGTTCCCATATCCAACAAGGTCTCCTATCCAAGAGCATGATAACTACTCTCTCTCATTAGTTAGGGTTGTGATGTTATAGAAGTTAAAAAACCCTAAAAGGGGCACGTCCAAGCCATTTACTTAGATAAATTATATTAGCTTCTACATATGTTTTGTTATCTTTCTCTCTCTCTCTTTGTTGCAAATCTCTTCCTTGCTCTTAATCCGATACGTGTCTTTAGCTTTTTTCTTGGTATCAATACTTGCGACAATTTTGTTATTAGTATTTTCTCCATGTCGCACGATTCATTAATTTAGTATGATTCTCTACTATATTTTAATTGCATGGGATGTTTTAGGTATGGATTGAGTTTTAGTTATGCATTGAAGTAAGTGATCTATGTTTACAAAATGTAAAAATAACTATTCATTGTCAAAATATTTTTCAATCTTTATTAAAATGAAAAACAAACATAATATATATATATATATATATATATATATATATATATTTCTTATTTTTTGAGATTTTTTTATATTTTTTAAATTGTAGGTTGTTGGGTTAGAAAGATGCATACCTTTGTCTGTGTGCACAAAAATGGCTTAATCTATGGAAGAGTCTGTCAAATGTAATTGTAAATGATCTTTTCATTGTGCTCTTAATATTGTTGTAGTATGAGCACCCAATTTGGAACG